AACTCACAGAGATCCGCCTGGCTCTGCCTCCCGAGTGCTGGGATTAAAGGCGTGCGCCACCACCGCCCGGCTAATTTTTTTTTTTTAAATCACAGCAACAACATAAAAAAACTATTTTTTCCATTTTCAACTCCCAAGGTAGAGACTGTCTTCAACAAGTGTGCATGGACCATAACCCTGCTGGGGCAAAGGATCTCCCAGGGAAGAAGGCAAAGACTCTGTCCCCAGAGAGCAGGGGAAGGTCATTGCCCTCGGTAAGAGAAAAGGAGCCTCCGCAGGGCAGGGAGGGCTTGAGGGTGAGATAAGTCTGAACCCAGGCTCACGAGGGAAAGTGGGGCCTGCCCCATGAACCTGTGCTCCACACCCCATGCTCTCCAGCCTCCCTCTACCAGGGAGGCTCTGGAGCTCACAGAGGGCCTCATCATCCCACAGAACATGTCTGGCCTTCAGCAGGAGCCCCATCGAGGCCTCTGGAGACATCACCAAGTACACTCTTTGTGCGACTCCTCGATTGCCCTGTGGAGATCCTCCCAAGGATCTTCCTGTCCCCCTCCTCTTCCCCTCCATGGATCCCTCAAAACTCCCTCTCTTTTCTCTCAGGCACTGGAAGAAAGTGTCTGTTATCATAGGACACTGAGACTGCACACCTATTATGTATTATGCTTGGTGATGGAGGAAAAACCCTGTTCTGTGGAATGGCCTCAATCAGTCTCAGAATTCATTCAGATGCCAGGCAGCCTGTCACAGTTCATTCATCATGAATCTATTCCTTGTGCGACCAGAGAAAAATCTAGACAGATCTCTGAGCTTCACTCGCTTGTAGCTGCCTAGATCACATGGCTTAGAGGCCATAGAGCTGGGTTCCTGGGAGCTCAGCTGCAGACAGCCACTCTGCTGTGTGGTGGTGACTGCCGTCCAGATCGCTTCCCAGGGACCCGAGGGGCTTCTGCTGACGACACTGCCTTCCCATGACCTGTAGATGCCAAGAGTCTGGATCTGGGAAAGAGGCTTGGGGTCTCTGACTCCATATTGTGTCTGCCTCCTTTGCTGCCTCAAGCTCTGGGTCAGATTCCACTTAGCTGTATAGGTGGATGGTATGTGGATCATTTGAAAAGCGTTTTGTCCTGGCCATAGTACAGAGTGAATTTGACCTAGATTTGCTTGGATGCTGATCTTTCTTTTGAGACTAAAGACACCTACCAGACACTCTGACTAGAAACTGGGGGGGGGGGGAGGAGAAGGAGGAGGAGGAGGGGTGGCTGTGGGGGCGGCTGTGGCAGCAGCAGCAGTGGCGGCGGCAGGTAGCGGCATCTGAGTTTCTAGAAGAGTGTTTCGGATTCCCAGAAAATACACGAGCATCCCCACCTCTTACCCCTCTCTCTCTCTGTTGACATTTCTGCCCTGACTCCCTGCACTGGAGAAGCTGACTCCTTCCTTCTGTTCTGTGGCCTCGAGTCAAAGGCTCTCTTCATCTCTTGAACACTTACTGTCTGAGGGCGGGGCTTCTGTAATACTCTAATCTCACATGGAGCGCACTACACACACACACACACACACACACACACACGCACGCACACGCACACGCACACGCACACGCACACGCACACGCACACCCCTACACTCACCTACTTACCCACCAGAGCCACAGGATGCTCCCAACCCTACACAATGAAGTAGAAGCAAAGCCTAGAAAATGCATCATGGCCACACCAAGCTTTGATCCTTGCTCTTGCTGGTGGAAAGGCCCCAGCAGCGAGAACCCCCATGCCTGCTGTGGGGTGCCTGGGGGTTGAGAGACAGTGAGCAAACACTGTGGTCGGAAGAAGGGCCTTTGGGATAAAAATCTGGGTCTGACAGGGGATAGGTTCAATGGGTGCCACCTTGGTGGGGCTATGGGCCACCCCTTCATCCCTTCAGTGACAGCCTGCCTCTAATGTTCTGAACCCTGACCAGGGTGGGCGGGGCAGAGAGATGGGGAGGACAGCTCTGGCTTGACAAAAGAATAAAAGGAGCCAGCAGGGAGATCCCTGGAGTCCTGGCTTCTGTCACAAGACAGTCACTCAGGGTTCTGGCATTGAATGGGGCTCAACTGCTCCCAGGTACCTGCACTTGGCTGTTATAGATATCTAACCCTGAACCCACATCTCCTGTCCCCTTGGTACCCATGGCCACGTTGACAGTCATTGAGGACCCAGCTCCTCCCACACTCATGCTCGAGTCCACCCGTCAATGACTGGTACTCCCTCAATCCTGTCCTTTTAGACTCTGGCTTTCCCCGAGACCAGTGGCCTGATGCCCCACTATAAAGGAGAGGGCATGCCTCCCAGCCTCTGACAGGACTCACCCTATGGTCTTCCCCCAGTCACACCACAGAGTCTTCCCGATGGCCTCCATGTTCTCCTTGAAGCGGGTGAAGCACAGCTCCTGGATGAGAATGCCATAGTCAGGATCCCGGCACGCAGTGACCATGAAGACGTGGTGAGCTGCAAAAGACCATCCGGGGACTGTCACCTACTGGGTCTCCTTCCTGTGGGCAGCCTCTCCCATTGCCTCCCCACCCATCGCCAGCCCTCCTCAGGGGCCACGTGCATCGGTGTGACCAGGAGACAACACCTGTCACTAGTTTCATTTTATTGGCATAAAATACCTGCCCCCGCCACCCCTCCCCCCCTCCCCAGACAAAAGCCACTCAGGAGGAAGGAACTTAGCACAGATGGTCACATCACACCCACAGGCAAGAGCAGAGAGAAGTGAGTGTGCACACGCTCACTTGCTGGTGCTCTGCTCAGTTTCTCCACTCTTACTTAGCTCAGGACCCTAGGGAATGGTGCTGCCCACAGTGGCATGAGTCATCCCACAGCAATGAACTTAACACAGCCACCCACAGACACACCCGCAGGTCAACCCAATGTAGAAGAGACTCTCTTCACAGGGAATTTCTGTATCACGTCAGGTTGATAACTTAAACTACCACTGTGCCCAAGGCTCCTGGTGGACTCTCTCCTTAGTCACTTTGTGTATCTGTGAAGACCCCACCTGCTGACAATGGGACCCACCAGGTCTTTGGATGCACTTTCTGCTGCTGGTGATGGCCTCCATTTTCTCCAAGCTTACCCTGGGCATTGGCACCAGGCATTGGCACCAGGCATTGCACCAGGCATTGGCCTCACGCTGTTTCATCCCCCTGCATGTTTCTCCTAACATCTGCATAGCTACAGAAACCCAGGCAGCAGGCACAACTTGCTGGGATTGAGCCCAGGCCTGCCAACCTCCAAATCCAAGGGCTGACCTCAGTCAGGTAGTGTCCCAAATATGAGGGGGAGGAATCATTGCTGCCCCACGTGGGCTTCAGAAGAGGGTCCTGGTCTACTTTGTTAATTTAGCACCTGGAGCTGTACCGCACTACCCGGGTCCCTGGGCACACTTGATCTCCCAGATGATGCTGGGCACTTCTCCTGATAGGACCCAGCTCCATTCACCAGTCTTGTCATTTCCTATCTCTGGAAGGGGTTCAGAGGGATGCAGGACTGCACAGGGCTCTGTGAGATCCTTGTTGGTCCTCACCAGAGAGATGTGGGATGGGGGAAAGCCTCATCTCATTAGCATCCCATCTCAGGAGAGCATCAAGTTGTTCCTCACTGCTCTGGGGACCAAGGATCCCACTGCAGCAATGGGTGACCTAAGAACTGAGCCTGTGGGTGGGCAGCTGGAGGTCTCAGGCTTGGGAGCATGGCTTGGAGAGGGTGGAGACCCAGGACCTGGAGGATCCAGAGAGCACAGAGGAGCCAGTGCTGGGCTTTTCTGAACTGTTGGGTCCCCCGCATTCTGGTACACTTCCATGCTGAAGGGCAGTCTTACTGTGACCACCTATTTACTGATGGAAAAACCGAGGCCTCACATCAGAAATGAGTTGAAGTCTCAGCGGTGCTGAGGCGGTGCAGACCAGAGCTGAACGTGGTTGGCTCCCCGCAGCCCAAGATGTGGCCCTGGTGCTGCCTGGCTTGAGATGGGGCCCCAGGGAAGCTTGGAGTGCAGCCGAAGAGTATGACCTGTCCTTTGAGGCTGTCATGAGGGGCAGGGAAGGAAATGGGGGGCACAGAGAAGGTGGAGAACAGAGAGACTGGAGGGTGCTGTCCCCAGTGTGCCCGGAGGGGGACATTACAGGGTGGACAGATGGTGAGTTCCATGGATGCAGATCTGGCACCTGCCAGCCCAGATGTGGACGCTGAGGTCACAGACATGGCAGTTGCATTCAGTGGCTCACAGAGGGCCAGGGGGTTCAGGTTGGGAGAGGAACAGGAGGAGAAAGAGTCCTGGTCATAGGCAACAGAGCCATCAGCTACCTGACAAGGACAGCTTGACCCCAGGCAATGTGATATTCACAGGGGTGAGGGGGTGGTTGGCAGGGGTGGGGGTGGTGGGGGTGGGGGATGGGGTGGGCAGCCACACAGCAGAAACTGGAACATCCCTTAGGAAACAATCCCTACCTTCACTTGCTTGCCCCACCAAGGTCTAGGAAAAAGGACTAGCATAGGACTGCCTGAGCCTGGACAGGGTGCCCCACGTGGTTAGGGCCAATGTCTCTGAAGCTGGGGCAGAGTGGCACAGAGCAGGCCAGAGGGGGCACACAGTGAATTCCCTGGGAAGTGAGCTGGGCATAGGAGCCCTCCTCATATGGCGATAACAGCCCCAGGACCATGTCTCCTGACAGTGTGGTCAAAGCAATGAAAGTGAAGCCTTATGTTCAATTAAAAATACAAACCCAGCCAGGCAGTGGTGGCTCACGCCTTTAATTCCAGCACTTGGGAGGCAGAGGCAGGCGGATCTTTGTGAGTTCGAGGCCAGCCTGGTCTACAGAGCGAGATCCAGGAAAGGTGCAAAGCTACATAAAGAAACTCTGTCTCAAAAAAAAAAACAAAAACAAAAAAAAAACAAACAACCTCCCCCACAAAAATCACAAACAAACAAACAAATAAATAACACACAACAGCCCAGCTTGAAGAGCCATGTGAGGGCTGGTGGCAGAGCTCTACAAACCTGGGCTATCTCTCATGCTGGAGGACCTGCCACAGACTAGTGCCTGCTGGCCTGAGTCTCCCCATAGGGAGATCACCCACCAATAGGTCTAGGGCAGGTAAGGCAGGGTACCCTGGAAGGCCAGCTGCTCAGGAAGAGAGCCTGGAGGTCGTGTCTGGACAGTCAGCTTAGCACAGAGATGATCACAGCTCTGAGCTAGGACTGGCCAGGAAGGGGGTAGGTGCTGGGACACACCAGAGTCCCGAGAACCAAGGGAGATGCTGGGGGCTTTTAGGAAAAGCTCTGGAGTAGTCGTGGGTGGGAGACCTGCCCAAGGGGAAGGCTGACAGATGGAAATCGCTCCTGGGAGGCACTCCAGAGAAGATTCAGCATACAGCCTTCATCATGAAACCTCCATCAGTGAGGGGCCATGGAGGGGCTGCTG